AAAAAAATGCTAATGGGTAAGGATATTAGCTTAAAAACTAAGTGGCACCTGATCCAAACCATAGTATTTTCAATTGTTTTATATACATCTGAAAGCTGGACAATAATGAATGTTTAAGGAAGGGCAAAGTTGAATCAATGCCTTTAAACTGTATTATAGCGAAGAGTATGAAATATTTTCTAGAATGTTAAAAAGAAAAGCGAATCTGTAATGGAGAAAGTGGAACCAGCATGCTCCTTAAAGACAAGGATGATGAGACTTTATCTCACATAATTCGAGCATGTTGTCAAAAGGGGCCAGCCCTTGGAAAAAGATATCAAGCTAGGGAAGGTAGAGGGGCAGTGAAAGTGAAGAAGACTCTAGTACGATGGACTGACACAATGACTGTATCAGAGGAATGAGGGATAGTGAGAACGCTCAGGATATGGCAAGGTTTTGGTCAGCTGTTCATATAGGGTTGCTAGGAGTCATAGTGTATAACACCTAACAACAATAACAACAATGGTGAAGTACAAGTCTTATAATATATAATATTATAATATTATACAATGAAAGTATATAATAAAATATAATAAAAGTACTGTCCATTTTTCGATTGTCCTGCATAGTTATTTGTCCCCATAAAACAAAAAGAAATGAAAGGTGTTAATTTTCATCAAGCATTTGCATTTGCCTTTATATTGCCTTGAAATTCTTGTACAGTCCAAAAAGAGAGGCTTTTATTTTCTTCTATTTTACTATAACAAATATGGCACTCATAATGCCTAAATAGATAAACCAAAAGAGATAGTCTATGTTTTTCATTTAACCCAGATTATGTCAATATTTTTCATTCCCTACTGGAATTATAGGTCAACTGCTAAGTTATACTGGATCTAATTCAACAAAAAAAAAAAATCTATGTTATTTCTAAAATAGCTCATAGTTTAGTTTTTACTTCCAAACCACGTGATTTTATCTTTCCCACCATGACAGGACTGAATATAAATGAAATATATTTCTTTTTTTTAAGTTGGCTGCTTGGTAACGGAATATTAAATATATGTATATACAGATACGTATACGTATACATATACATATACATATACATATACATATACATATACATATACATAAAAGCATTGATCATGGGAATTGCCATATACTATTAGTTAAAATATATGACTCAAAAACGTCAATACTTACTGTCAGGACATAACTGACTCTCAGCTGATCTTCCACCAGGTTTTCAGAGGTTATTAACTCCACAGAAGTTATGGCCCATCCTGCTCCCTTGGAGCATCTAGTGGATTCAAACCACCTGCCTTTGAGTTGATAGGCAAATTCCTTATTCACTAGGCCACAGAGGTCCCTAATAAACACGGCACACAAGGAAAATAAATTTGTCTAGTTCTTTACAAGTACGGTATAATTTATAGTTAGGTTTTCTTATACAGATAGCTTTCTTGGGCCTTTATACAGGAAATGAGAGATTTCCAGCCATTTACTGTAAGATCTCATCATATAAAAATGATATAAGTAATCACTATTCAGAGATCTAAGGCCTTAATTCTGTGAGAAAAAGACTA